CCATATCAAAGTACCACGCTCTCCTAACCTAACTGCTGGCACAGTACGACCTTGCTCCTGTTTGGCATGCTGGGCTGACATGCAGCTGCAAACTCCTCACTCAAGGGATTAGCTTACATGCAGGAAACTATGTCAGAAGCAAGGGCTACTGAAGAAGCAGACAGACCACATGGAAGAGTCGAATAAGCTGTCAGTAAATCGCGTGGTAACGACGGAAATGCTGGAGGCAAATACAGTTTACACCAAACTTCTGACCCTCGAGACAAAGAGACATTCACAAACGTCATAATGCTCATAGGTGGACGTTGTCAGTGCAAGAGTGATGAATTTCAAATGGCATTCAGCAGGACAGGTGGCAAGAAATACCTACCATCGTTGGACCAGAGAAACATTAGACTTGGTTCCAAGAACTAGTGCACGGCTAGTGGAATACTTCCACGTCGATGGCTCTGTGAACTGGAGAAATTTCTGGGAGCATCATGAGTAAGATTCGCAGAAGATAGAATTCTGTGGCCAAATCTCGGTCAGGCTTTTCTTCAGCAGTGGGTCAAAAACTTCTGCTAATGGTTGCGTCTAGGCACCCATGCAAAGCTCCAGAAAGACCGGACACAGTAAAAACAAAAATATGGTAATATGCATTAATAATTATAATATGATTCTGCATAAAGACCTTGGTGTTGATGACGTTGATGAAGTGCGGTAATTTATTTAAAAAGAACGAATGCATTTGATAAAATAGGTTAATAACAGCAACACAAATTTGAGTGAACCGATACCCGTATACGGTCACTGAGCAAACCCGCCTGCATGGTTCTGAAACCTGGACAAGACGACAGCAACGGAGAGAAAAAAGGCACACAAGCATTGGAAACAAAATATTACTGCGCCTGTTGTGGATCCCATAAGAATTCCACTGCACATAAGAAAAAGGATAAAGTCAGAAAAAAAGTGAAGGACTTTTAGGCAAACAGCAACCATTGCTAACGCCAACAGTCCGACGCCAAACCGCTGTACTTCGAGCACAGACCACGATCCAACGGCTTCATGAAAATCGTCATGGAAGGCAGAGTCCTAGACACAAAGCCGAGAGGACTCCAGAAAGAGTTCGACTAGCGAATCACACCGGAAGTACGATAAACTGAGTAACGGCATGGAAGAAGACAGCCAGAAATTGGAAAGTTTTCTTCGCAGAAGATGGGTGACCACGATAATGAATGAAACAAGAGACCTCAGGCTCAAGTGGCGGAAAGTGGTCAATGACGATAGTGCAGAAAAGCACTGTTTATCAGGTGAAAAAAATGTACATAAAAGTAAACAAGGATCTCATGGGTGCATATATCATCAGTAAGAAAATAAACATTTTCTGTTACTACCCTCTTTACACGGCGAGGACGCACCTTCGTCTTGCTTCTAGCGACTAACGGGAGGACCATCTAAGCAATCGGAGCCGGCTCAAATCGTGCTCTAGGCCGCTAGAAGCAAGGGGGCAATGCGTCCATGCCGTGTAAATCCGGAAGTAACAAAGAATGTTCTATTATGCATAGTCACTACGGTAGTCGCAACATCTGATTATGAATCTCAAATGGCTGGCTAATGAGAAAACAGTTGACGGAAGGATTGACAAAGCATATCATCCATTTAAGGCAAATCGTTTTAGAAGCAGGACGTTTCGCGTTCCAGCCCAAAACTAATGAGGAGCGAGGTTAAAGGTTACTGTCAAAGGCGGCATGAGAAGAATTTTACAAGGGGACAATGCTTGTGCTGAATCGGAAATAGCACATCAGGATAAGTGTTACTGTCTAGAATGGCCTGGACTGCTATTAACAGAAAATGGTTCAGCCAATACCGGTAATACGGTGGTTTTACCCCATTATCGCCAAGCCTACCCGCATACTGAACCCAATACAGTGTTGAATGCAAATTTAAGACTAGGCCATGACTGAAGTGTAGGCTGAGGCTTAGGCTGCAGCGTGGTAAAGACCACAGACTGCCCGTATCTACTGAGTGCGAGCTAATTTCAGTTCCTATCCGTACGAATGAATTCATACG